TGTTCAGTAACTCTTACGTCACATGTTTCTATTTGTTTTTCCTGTTTTTATAAAAGCCAAAGTAAAATCCATGAGACATTTAAGAAACATCAGGAGAAAATCACTGAGAGCTGTCAGACTACCTGTGATGTCACTCAAACGTTCAGCACTCTGAACTTTGCATCATTTCTATAATCTGTTGTCTTCTCGTCTTCTTCTGTGGTTTGTCTGCCTCTGCAGATGTTTGCTCAGGTTATCAAGCTGCTGGTGGTCTTTACACAAGATGGATGTTGGGGTTTAATGAGCTCCAGGTTCAGATGTGCTGATTAAAGCAGGACAGACGACAGAAACATCTTCACAGGCTGTCAGTCACAGAAAGTGTGACAGAGTGATGCATCGTCTCATTTTAACCTCTCTGACAGGACAGTTCGTTAACACAGCTGGTAATAAATGTTTCCTCTGTGGTCCCACTGCAGCAGGGGGGGCTCTGCAGCCTCTTCATCACTGTGACACACCGAGGGGGTCTCCACGAGGTTCATCTAATGTGAGGCTGCGCCACAGACTCGTCCCACTACAGTCCTGATGGGGGCAGAGACCTGGTCTGGTCTAAGACCAGGACTCTCATACACCTGCATCAATAGTAGCTGCAGAACAGGAAGCAGGGTCGATACGAACACAAGGACTTCCTGCTTCTCCAGAACCACATTAGATCTTCTAAATAAGTTCAGACCAGGTCCATGAGAGCAGAACCTGCAGCACATGGACCCAGCAGCTGCAGCATCCTCTCATTAACCTTTTATTTGTCCATTGTGTTTGTCACATCCTGACTTCTGCCAGACGTTCTTCTCCAGCATCCAGAGACCAACCAGGACCTTCAGCAGAAGCCACACCCAGTCTGTGAGCTCTGACAGGAACACTGGACCCGCCCGGCTGTGTTTGCCTGTTTCTCAGCTCATCAGCACAAACAAACTGAATCAACAGGAAGTTTGCGGTGCGTTCCAGCTTCTCGGGTTTCCCAGGTTTCTACGGCCTGGCAGAGGATCACTGGACCCTCCAGAACCTGATCCTCGGGTCGATAAAACAGTCTGATCAACAAACAACAGAACCTGAACAGAAGTGTCCACAGACTGGAGACACARCAGACCTCAGAGCAGAACCCAGAACAAGACCAGCTGAACCGAGGGCTGGTTCTACTACAAGCCCCGCCCCCTCAAGTCAACTGAGAAGACAGCCCCGCCCACTCATGTCAACTATCAGGACAGTCCTGCCCCCTCATGTCAACTATCAGGACAGTCCCACCCCCTAATGTCAATGAACTAGAAGCCCCGCCCCTCATGTCAATAAACTAGAAGCCCCGCCCCCTCATGCCAATAAACAGGACAGTCCCCACTTCATGTCAATAAACAGGAAAGTCCCGCCACCTCATGTCAATAAACAGGAGAGTCCCGCCTCCTCATGTCAATAAACAGGACAGTCCCGCCTCCACATGTCAATAAACAGGACAGTCCCGCCTCCTCATGTCAATAAACAGGACAGTCCCGCGACCTCATGTCAATAAACAGGACAGTCCTGCCCCTCATGTCAACTATCAGGACAGTCCCGTTCCCTCATGTCAACAAACAGGACAGTCCCACCACCTCATGTCAATAAACAGGACAGTCCCACCACCTCATGTCAATAAACAGGACAGTCCCGCCTCCTCATGTCAATAAACAGGACAGTCCCGCCTCCTCATGTCAATAAACAGGACAGTCCCACCACCTCATGTCAATAAACAGGACAGTCCCACCAGCTCATGTCAATAAACATGACAGTCCTGCCCCTCATGTCAACAAACAGGACAGTCCTGCCCCTCATGTCAATAAACAGAACAGTCCCGCCCCTCATGTCAATAAACAGGACAGTCCTGCCCCTCATGTCAACTATCAGGACAGTCCTGTCCCCNAGGACAGTCCCGCCCCCTCATGTCAACTATCAGGACAGTCCCGCCCCTCATGTCAACAAATAGGACAGTCCTGCCCCTCATGTCAATAAACAGGACAGTCCCGTCCCCTCATTTCAACAAACAGGACAGTCCCGTCCACTCATGTCTACAAATAGGACAGTCACGTCCCCTCATGTCAACTATCAGGACAGTCCCGCCCCTCATGTCAACTATCAGGACAGTCCTGCCCCTCATGTCAACTATCAGGACAGTCCTGCCCCTCATATCAACTATCAGGACAGTCCCGTCCCCTCATGTCAACAAACAGGACAGTCCCGTCCCCTCATCTCAACAAATAGGGCAGTCCCGCCCCCTCATGTCAACTATCAGGACAGTCCYGCCCCTCATGTCAACAAATAGGACAGTCCTGCCTCTCATGTCAATAAACAGGACAGTCCTACCCCTCATGTCAACTACCAGGACAGTCCCATCCCCTCATGTCAACTATCAGGACAGTCCCGCCCCCTTATGTCAACTATCAGGACAGTCCCGCCCCCTCATGTCAACAAACAGGACAGTCCTGCCCCCTCATGTCAACTATCAGGACAGTCCCGCCCCTCATGTCAATAAACAGGACAGTCCTGCCCCTCATGTCAACAAACAGGACAGTCCTGCCCCTCATGTCAACTATCAGGACAGTCCCGCCCCCTCATGTCAACTATCAGGACAGTCCCGTCCCCTTATGTCAATAAAGAGGACAGTCCTGCCCCCTCATGTCAACAAACAGGACAGTCCCGCCCCCTCATGTCAACTATCAGGACAGTCCTGCCCCCTCATGACAACAAACAGGACAGTCCTGCCCCCTCATGTCAACAAACAGGACAGTCCTGCTCCCTCATGTCAACTATCAGGACAGTCCTGTCCCCTCATGTCAACAAACAGGACAGTCCTGCTCCCTCATGTCAACTATCAGGACAGTCCCGCCCCCTCATATCAACTATCAGGACAGTCCCGTCCCCTCATGTCACTAAACAGGACAGTCCCGCCCCCTCATGTCAACTATCAGGACAGTCCCGTCCCCTCATGTCACTAAACAGGACAGTCCCGCCCCCTCATGTCAACAAACAGGACAGTCCTGCCCTCTAATGTCAACAAACAGGACAGTCCCGCCCCCTCATGTCAACAAACAGGACAGTCCCGCCCCCTAATGTCAACAAACAGGACAGTCCTGCCCCCTAATGTCAACAAACAGGACAGTCCCGCCTCCTCATGTCAACAAACAGGACAGTCCCGCCCCCTCATGTCAACTATCAGGACAGTCCTGTCCCCTCATGTCACTAAACAGGACTGTCCCGCCCCCTCATGTCACTAAACAGGACAGGCCTGCCTCTCATGTCAACTATCAGGACAGTCCCGTCCCCTCATGTCAACTATCAGGACAGTCCCGTCCCCTCATGTCACTAAACAGGACAGTCCCGTCCCCTCATGTCAACTATCAGGACAGTCCCGTCCCCTCATGTCACTAAACAGGACAGTCCCGCCCCCTCATGTCAACTATCAGGACAGTCCCGCCCCCTCATGTCAACTATCAGGACAATCCCGCCCCCTTATGTCAATAAAGAGGACAGTCCTGCCCCCTCATGTCAACAAACAGGACAGTCCCGCCCCCTTATGTCAATAAAGAGGACAGTCCTGCCCCCTCATGTCAACAAACAGGACAGTCCCGCCCCCTTATGTCAATAAAGAGGACAG